TGTGCTAGGTGTTGTACTAAGTGGTCTACTGCATTCCTTTTTGTAAAAAACTAAAACTGTATATTTTTTATTTTTAATTGTGGTAAATTTTTGTAACATAAAATTGAACATCTAACCATTTTTAACTATGTAGTTCAGTAACATTAAGTAAATTGACATTGTTGTACAGCCAATCTCCAGAACTCTTCATCGTGCAAAGTTAAAACTATACAGCTCTGCTTTCTCCCTAGCCCCCGACAATCAACTATTCTTAATGTTTTTGTGACTACTCTAGGCACTCATGTAAGTGGAATCATATGGTATTTGTCTTTTTGTGACTGGCTTATTTTACTTAACATAATGTCCTCAAGGTTCATCTACACAGCATCTGTCAAAATTTCCTTCCTTTTTAAGGCTGCATAATATTTCATTGTATGTGTACACCACATTTTCTTTATCCATTTATCCATTGATGGATGTTTAGGTTGCTTCTACCTCTTGGTTATTATCTCTCTGAGATTCTGTCTTTAGTTCTTCTGGATATCCACCAAGAAGTGGGATTGCTGGATCAAGACTTCTATGTTTAATTTTTTGAGGGACCTACCCACTGTTTTCCATAGCAGCTGCACCATTTTATATTACCACCAACAGTGTACAGAGATTCCAGTTGCTTCATGTCCTTGTCAACACTTGTTATTTTTGTGTTTTTTTTTTCTTCTTGAAATCATCATTCTAGGTTGAATATATTTTTGTTTTTTTTTTGATAATGGATGTAAGGTGATATGGTTTTGATTTACATATCCCTGATGATTAGTGATATCAAGCCTATTTCTATATGCTTCTTTGCCATTTGTATATCTTTTTTGTTGTTGTTTGAGACAGAATCTTACTCTGTAACCCAGGCTGGAGTGCAGTGTTGTGACCTTGGCTCACTGCAACCTCTGCTTCCTGGGTTCAAGTAATCCTTGTGCCTCAGCCTCCTGAGTAGCTGGGATTACAGGCACCCACCACCATACCTGGCTAAGTTTTGTATTTTTAGTAGAGACGGGGTTTTGCCATGTTGGCCAGGCTGGTCTTGAATTCGTGACTGTGGGTAACCCCCCATATAGACACTGAGGAATGAGAGCTAAGCAGAACTCTGGCACAGTTACGGCTTGAGGAATATCTCACTTTATAGTGTTACTACTCAGCTATTTCCTTTTATATAATCCTTTACATAATCATATATTAGTTTATAGAATTAGGGCTTGAAGAATCTCTTTGTATAATCCTCTCTATATAATCATATAATAGTTGATAGTATGAGTGCCTAAAGAATATTTCCCTACATATATACCTATAATTATATCTTAGTTCATAATCAGAGGAATGCTAGAGTGGACACAGTACAGAGCATGAATTAAGGAATAAGCAGCTTATAATCAGAGGAATGCCTAGAGCAGACACAGTGCAGAGCATGATTTAAGGGAAAAACAGTTATAACAGGACAAGAATCCATGGCCCAGGCAGCAGCGTTCAGTATTGTAAAGATACCCGCTGTATGGCAGGCTTGGGACGAGAGCCACTCCTCCTGATAAAGGAGTTGTAGGACCTTGCTCCAGTTCTTATGGAAGGCTACTCTCAGTGCAGCAATCCACCTTGGTGACTGTGAACTTTATCAGCTCTTGCTACTGTGCTGCTTGAAAAGCATCTTCCTATAGAATCTATTGGAAGCTGCCAGAAGGTGGCGGTAACCTTGACAGCTCTGTCACTGCTATATGACTCAAAACATCCTCCTATAAATCTTCTTAGAAGTAGTTTGCCCATAGATAGAAGTGTTGTGCACTGCACCCTCCTCACTGCACATGGCCCACCTTCAAACCTCGGTGACGTAATGGGGGTGGACCCCTTACTGCACACTGCCTTTGCCTTCATGGGAACGGGCCCCTTGCTGTGCACTCTCCACCTCCTGGCCTAGGTGACCTAATGGGCATGGACCCCATGTTTTATTGCTCACGACCCTATCACCGTCCTTAAAGATGATTTCACTCACTGCCCTGCCCCCTAACCTATACACAATAAATACTCATGCTTCTGGACATTCGAGGCCTTGCCTGACTCCGCTCATAGGTGGCGTGGCCCCCTGAGCCCAGCTGCGTTTTCCTTGTACTTCTGTGTCCTGTCTCTTTATTTCTCAGATCCTGCGCCTCAGCACAGTATAAGGCACACCCCACGACCTTGTGGGGCCATCAGCCCTACACGTGACCTCAGGTGATCAACCCTGCTTGGCCTCCCAAAGTGCTGGGATTACAAGTATGAGCCACTGCACCCAGCTCATTTGTATATCTTCTTTGGATAAGTGTCTATTCAGGTTCTTTTGCACATTTTTTATTTTTATTTTTATTTTTTATATATTTATTTTTTTTTGAGACGGAGTTTCACTCTTGTTACCTAGGCTGGAGTGCAATGGCACGATCTTGGCTCACCACAACCTCCGCCTCCTGGGTTCAAGCAATTCTCCTGCCTCAGCCTCCTGAGTAGCTGGGATTACAGGCACACACCACCATGCCCAGCTAATTTTTTGTATTTTTAGTAGATACGGGGTTTCACCATGTTGACCAGGATGGTCTCGATCTCTTGACCTCGTGATCCACCCGCCTCGGCCTCCCAAAGTGCTGGGATTACAGGCTTGAGCCACCGCGCCCGGCCCTTTTGCACATTTTTTAATTGGATGGTTTGTTTTTGATGTTGTTGTTGAGTTGTAGGAGTTCTTTATGTATCCTGGATATTAATTCCTTATCATATGTATGACTTGCACATATTTTTTCCAGTTCTGTAGGAAACTTCATTCTTATTTAATCATCACAACACCGCTCTTACCTTTATTTTGTAAATGAGAAAGGTGAAGTACAGAGACATTCAGTAACTTTTAGTAACCTTCCACTGGTTGCATAGTTATTATGTGGTGGAGCAGGAATTCAGACTCATACAGGTTGCCTCCAGAGTTAGTACTTTCCCACCACATTATTTGCAGTCAATTTCTTGGCCAACTTTGTATAAAAACAAGTGGCCTTGGTTTCTATGATTAGCCCATGTGGAAGGCTAACTTTAAGAGGCAAGTTGATCTACATTTTAAAAAAGTACAGCTGATCCTAATTATGTGCAGACTCTATTTGTGAATTTGCCTACTTGCTAAAATTTATTTGTAACCCCCAAATCAGTGCTCACAATGCTTTTGTGGTTATTTGTGGCCAAGTGCGAAGGAGTAAAAATTGAGTCACCTGATGCACATGTTCCCAGCTGATGTTAAACAACTACTTTCTTGTTTCAGTTTTCATACTGTAAACAAGTGTTCTTTCATGGTCTACAGTATTTAGTGTCATGTTTCCCCCCACATTTTGGTAGGCTTTTTGTTGGCAGGAGTGTGGTGATTTCACTGTTTAAAATAGTCTGCAAATGTAATGCTGAAGTGCTAATGTTCCTGAATGCAAGAAGGCTGTGATGTATCTTCTAAAGAACAGACAGATGGTCCCTGACTTACAATGGTTTGACTTACGGTTTTTCAACTTTAGGAGGTTGTGAGAGTGATAGACATTCTATAGAAACCATACTTTGAATTTTGAATTTCTATCTTTTCTCAGGTATATTAAATACATTTTCTTGGGTATATTAAATGCATTTTAAGCATTTTTAATTTATGACCGGTCTATTGGGATGTAAACCCATCATAAATTGAAAAGCGTTTGTATATGTAATTACATAAGCTTAGTTCAAACTGAGTTCCAGTGCTGGTGGCCATAATTTCCATGGTAATGAACCAGCAATACATATTCAATAAGGTATCTTTAAATATAAACATACAAAAAAGTACATTATGTATTGATTGGTTGAAGAAAATGTTGTTAGTAGAAGCTTGCAGGAATCTAACCCTGTGTTTCTCCTAGGAGCAATGGCTCAGTGTTTGCTGATTCATTGTTTGCAGTGGCCTTATAAAACATAACTTTTATGAATAAGGAGATTTGACTGCATTTTCTAACTACCATTTAAATCAGTGTAACATGAAGGAAAGCCTCATTTACGTTAAATAAACGAACTGTTGTAGAATCCCGGGACATGTGATGCTGTGTTGTAATTCAGAAGGCCCAAGTGCTTTCACATCTGCCATATCAGCAACTCAGTGGTAGGTAGGGCTGGTATATGTTCATTCTAAATAAGAAATCTAAGTAAGGAGAGGTTATGTGGGTTATCCAAGGACACACAGATAGCAGTATAAATGGACCTGAAGCCCAATTTTCCTGATTGTTTTTGATGTGAATTTCCCTCTTCTAGCTTGCCTTTCTGTAACTAGAATAGCAAGAAGTGAATGCTTTTTGAGTACACATAACATACCAGTTCCAGAGCTAGTCACTGATGCATTTGATCTCATTCGTCTCAGTAACTCTTTGTAAAAGGAGATGTAGTTGGCCCTCCATGTCCCCCAGTTTCACATCCATGGATTCAACCAATTGCAGATTGAAACCTGTGGATATGGAAGACCGACTGTACTAGGTCTACTAGGTCATTATATATAATAAGGGACTTGAGCATCTGGGGATTTTTCATCTGTGGGGTCTTGGAACCAATCTTCCACAGGTACAAAGGGCCAACTGTAGTGCAGTCTCACCAATGACTAGACTGAAAGGAAGTTAGGTATCTCACTGAGGACTTACGTATAAAATAGTGCTGATGGAATTTGAATCTTGATCCTCCAAAGAATATGTTCTGTTCTTACTTTCTGCAGTTCTCTCCTAAATGGCTCAGAAGAGAGAATTAGCACAACATAAATGTATATTTTCTAAGCCCAATTTACTAATGGTGTTGTAAAATATCTAATTAATGCTTCCAACCATTTGGATTTGTGGTTTCATGTATGTGTACAAAATATTAAAAAGTTAATATAGAAATGTTATTCTCAAATCTGTCCAATTTTAATTTGCTGTGCCTTAAGACATAATTATTAATTCACAGTGTAAAGTGGATTATTATAAATGTTTTCTTTTTAGAGTGAAAGAAAATGTCTTTATTTAAAGCCCGTGATTGGTGGTCTACTATTCTAGGAGAAAAAGAAGAATTTGATCAAGGATGTTTGTGTTTGGCTAATGTTGACAATAGTGGAAATGGACAAGGTAAGCAACTTATAACCATGCACCTTGGAGCAAAGCTTTACAGAGATCAAATAAAGCCAGGCGCAGTGGCTTATGCCTGTAATCCCAGCCCTTTGGGAGGCCGAGGCGGGCAGATCACGAGGTCAGGAGTTTGAGACCAGCCTGGCCAACATGGTAAAACCCCGTCTCTACTAAAAATATAAAAATTAGCCAGGCTTGGTGGCAGGCATCTGTAATCCCAGCTACTTGGGAGGCTGAGGCAGGAGATCGCTTGAACCCAGAAGGTAGGAGGTTGCAGTGAGCTGAGATCATGCCACTGCACTCCAGCCTGGGAGACAGAGTGAGACTCTATTTCAAAAAAAAAAAAGAGAGATCAAATAAAAATGACTTGCTTTTCAAAATATGTACTTTTTAGAACTTAATCGAACTATCATAATTATACCTAATTTTGAAAGTAATTTTAAAAAATAAGTAATATTTAGGTAGCAGACTGATAACTATAGTCCTTCTGTTTTGTTTATGTTCTGGTTTGTATTGATTCTGTCATATTTTTTGCTGGAATTTATTGAAAAATATATGGCATCACTTCATTTAGTAGGTGCTCAGAGGAGTTTAGTACCTCCCACTGTTCTGCTTCACCAGTGTAATTTTCTCTTTTCACATTTTCCTGCATCAAAATTTGGTCTTGTAGGGGAGAGTTAGGAAAATATTTTGAATTTTGAAAAATTTCCTTTTGTAGAAATTCTTTACAAGAAAATAAATTTTTTATTGGCCCTGGAAACCATTCATACCATAATGAAGCTAGTTCTATTTGGTGGTAGAAAACAATTGTTAAATCATTGCTTTCATTATCATAATACTAAAACTTACATCCTAGCTTATTCTTATGCATCTTTATGTTTTTTAAGTCACCTTTAAAACAGTTTAATTCTATATTATTGTATCATTGCTACTTGAAATTTGTATTTGGTTTATAATTATGGGCTTAAATTTTTTTTTTGTAATCCATGTAGTCATTAGCCTCTTAAAAAGAAAACTTACTATAGCTATTCTTTTAGTTTACTGCATATAAATATTACCCCCTTACATTTTTAAAAATTGGTTTTCTTGCATGTAACAAAAACAGTGGGATCTGCAGGAAAATGTGAAAAGAGAAAATTACATTGGTGAAGCAGAACAATGGGATGTACTAAACTTCTCGGAGCACCTACTAAGTTGTTTTGAAGGAAAATTTGGTCCCTGATTTTCTACTGGTAGGAGATGGGTAGATCTTCTATTCAGAGGGTACTGAGAGGTTCCTCGACCCTGCCTCTGCCCCACTATTTGTTACAGCATGTGATTCCCCAATTATTTGGCCATTTAAGAGTCATGCCACAGAAATACCTGCCAGAGACAACAATTTCAAACTCAGTTCTGCCCAAACTATCTAAAGTTTAGCTTGGTTAGAAACTATGCTTACTGATTATCTGCATAACACACTGTTGACTCATTCATTTCTATTAGAGTTCCTTACTGGGGTGCCACCATGCCACCAGTAGGTTACCAATATGCTGAGATACTGCTTCCCTCACAGTTTGTGGTGAGCTGTGAGCAGCTTCCTCTGTTTTCCGAAGCTTGCTATACAGAAATCATTACATATGTATGTTCCACATAGGAAAAAAAACACTGATCATTGTGTTCCAAAGCCTGGATACCTGGGTCATAATATCCTGGGGTCATTATTATATATCAAGCTTTTGTATCCCAGACACATGAGATGTTATAAGATTGTATTATCTGGGGGTAGGTGGGTGGTGTGACTTAGGTATCCTCATTTTTGACAAGCTCCAGAATAGAATGCTGGCATTCTTAAGTTTGAGAATTATTATTCCCGATCTTATAGAATGGAAAGAACAAGAGCAGTTTTGGATATGCTCTGTTTAAGACAGAAGTGTCTAGTATACAGAATAGAGGTAGAGATTTTTAGGATGAACAATATGGTGTTTGTATTTGGAGCTCTGTGAGTAGGTGAAAATGTACTAGGAGAGAAGTTGAAATAAGAGGGGAAAAGGTATAGAACTGTAACCTTGAGAATGTGAGGCTCAATGGAGGAAGTGTGGGAAGAGTAATAGATTCTGAAAATGTGAGGCTGAGAGGCAGGAAAACCAATTAGGCTGGTACTCAGGAAGCAAAGTTTAGTGATATAAGGACTGAATTTTTTTTTTTTTTTTTTTTTTAAAGACAGTCTTGATCTGTGGCCCAGGATGGAGTGCAGTGGCGCGATCTTGGCTCACTGCAATCTCTGCCTCCTGGGTTCAAGCAATTATCCTGCCTCAGCCTCCCAAGTAGCTGAGATTACAGGTGCCTGCCACTATGTCAGGCTAATTTTTGTATTTTGAGTAGAGAGAAGGTTTTGCAATGTTGGCCACGCTGTTCTTGAACCTCTGACCTAGGTGATCCACCTGCCTTGGCCTCCCAAAGTGCTGGGATTATTGGTGTGAGCCATTGTGACAGGGTCTTACTCTGCTGCCCAGGATGGAGTGCAGTCGTGTGATCATGGCTCACTGCAGCCTCAACCTCCCAGGTGTGCTTCACCACGTCTGGCTAATTCTTAAATCTTTTGTTTTTTATAGAGACAGTGTCTCCTTGTGTTGCCCAGGCTGGTCTTGAACTCCTGGGCTTAAGTGATCTTTCTGCCTTGGCCTCCCAAAGTGCTGGGATTACAGGCATGAGCCACCAAGCCTGGCCTAAAAGTTTACATGCTCTTTAGTAGCAAGTGGTTCATTAGTGTCTGTGACAAGAGTGGATGCATGGGCACAATGGTAATGAGATCTACATTTTCAGTGAATGAATGGGGAGTGAGTGGGAGGCAGGGAGACTATTTATGACTCTTTAAAGAAACTTAGCTGTGAATTGAAGAAGAGGGGATGATGATTTGGAGGCCATGTAGGGTCAAGGGAAGTGGAAAAAATTCAGTGTGTAGGATAGAGGCTTTCATTGATGGAGCAGGGACCCAGAGAGGACAGTCAGAGATGAGATCAGGTGTGCAGATGGAAGGATTAATCTTGAGCAGGTGTGGGAACCTTTTTCCATAAGTGACAGAGGAAAGAAGGTAAGAATGTATTCAGATATAGAGAAATTTGCAGGCCAGGTTGGGAAGTTGAAACAGTAATGTCAGTTGACCTCTACTTTTTTTTTTTTTTTAGGTGATGAGAAAGTGAGAGGAGGGTTATAGCATCCTGAAATTTCTTTAGAAGAAGCCAAGTTAAAACACAGGATTCCTTGTTAATCTTGATAGTACAATTGAAATTGAACACCCCATGCATTTAAAGTGGTACTTACTTTCCTAATTTTCTCAACTCAAGATTCAGACTCTTGAGAGAGATAGAGTGAGGGAAAGAGAGAGGATCTGAATAATCCAATTTAGATTACATGCCAACCTGTGGACTGGAGGGAAAGTTTATTACTAGAATTGGAGTAGAAAGCAAGTAAGACTGACTAATGGCTTTTCATTTAATGCCTGCATGTTCATTAATTCCTGGGGAATCCCATATTTATTAATCGTAGCTTGAAATCTATGAGAGTCAGACTTATCTGAGATCTGGTTACTATAAAAGTCCTGAAAATATTTTAATAATTATACATTTTGCTTCAGTGGGTTAGCTTGTTACCATGTAGACATGGCCATCCTGACCTCTCTTATCCCTGAAGATAGGGCTACATTGAGTTACCCATGAATCTTGGTTATTTAGTGAGTAAAAGTGGGGATTTAGGGCATGACAAGATACATGGAAAGCTCAGTGGGGAATGTTTTAGGAAGGTTTAAAGGTTTAAGTCTTCTGTACCCCTTCTGGACTCCATGACAACAGTACAATTTTATTCTTTCTGATCAATGCCTGGAGAGAAACCTGGAGAGATTTGTCAGGTCATTTGTTACTATAATTTAAAACATAATTTAGCACTATCTGAGTAGTAAGTGGTGAGAAATGTTACTGCAGAGTACCAAAGACTCTGAGTTTTGTTCTTTACGCTTAGATGATAATTTTGAGATTAAACCTATTATGCTTTTAAATTATCCAGTGCCTTTCAATAAAGCTATCTTACATGTGGTTTGGTGTTCCTCCTTGTTCAGTTGGCCTATGGCAGCTGCTGTCCGGTCAACTAGAGTTTCACCTGCAATGGGCACAGGGTCCCAGATAACTAGAGATGATAACTTGATTAACTGTTCTGTTACAGTGTACAGTGCTACTTAACCCCACCTAGAATATGAATGGGAGTGTTCTGTGAAAGGACATATATGCAAAGTGGCCCCTGAGAACTAAAGGAGCCCAGAACCAAAGGCTGAGGCAGTCAAATCCAGTTTGTCAGTATATGGTTATTTACTAGGTAAACTTATGGGCAGAAATGTAGTCTTGGGCAGTTGCAAGACAGGTAGATCTCCACACCACAACCCCCAGACCCAGGGCTTGTATCTTGGGGAAAATAGTATATGTGCTCTGGAAGGAATGTGTAGGTGGCTATGAATGTCAAAGCCTATGATATATGTAGAACATCAAGTGCTGTTTCAGAGGAAAGGCAAAACTTACAAGGAATAGGTGTTTCTACATAGAGAGTAATACGTCAACTAGAAATCTTGGAGGAGTTCTTGAACTTGAAGTTAGTCAGGAGTCACATGGCAGATTAGCATTTAAAATAAAGTCACTCTTGTCCGCACAAGGAATCTTACTGTTTTGTACCCCATATCATGTCAAGAACCAATTCCCATACTTTGGAGTCCAAGGCAGGTGGATTGCTTGAGTCCAGGAGTTTGAGACCAGCCTGGACAATGTGGCGTAACCACATCCCTACAAAAAATACAAAAATTAGCTGGGCATGGTGGCACATGCCTGTATTCCGAGCTACTCAGGAGGTTGAGGTGGGAGGATCAATTAAGCCTGGGAGGTTGAGGATGCAATGAGCCGTGATTGCATCACTGCACTCAAGCCTGGGCAACAGAGTGAGACCTTGTCTCAAAGAAAAAAAAAGAACCAATTCTAAATATGCTTGCATGTTTTCATGCCTGCAATTTATTTTCTGATGCTCATTTTTATATCAGTTATCTTTTTTTGACCACAAGTGACAGGAAACTGTGATAAATTTAAGTACAGAAGGTACTGGAATGAATGTAAGATAGCTTTCCCAAATGGAGGCAGAGTTGAACTGAACAACCCTTTAGTGGGGACAGGAATGGGCATGGCTCCAGAGACCTTGTAAGCCCCCAGGAGGCTGTCATTAGCTCCTCTAGCACCAGAGTCCTATGATCTATATGTCTCCATTCAGTATGGAATTTCCCAGGATTGAACCTCTCTCATAGGGTTATTATGAGGATTTTTTTTTTTTCAGTGACAAAGTCTTGTTCTATCACCCAGGCTAGAGTACAGTGGCAATATTACAGCTCACTGCAGCCTTGAACTCCTTTGCTCAAACGATCCTTACACCTCAGCCTCTCAAGTAGCTGGGGATACAGGGGCATGCCACTGCACCCAGCTTCGCATGGCATTCCCTCCATGTCTCTGTTTTCTCATCTTAAAGAACACTAATAGAGTTCGATCACACACCTAATTAACTGTGACCTCATTTTAACTTGATTACATCTGTAAAGACTCTTGTTTCCAAATCAGGTCACATTCAGAGGTACCTGGGATTATGACTCTAACATACCCTTTTTGCGGGGGATACAATTTAACTTACAACACCCATTCTGTCATTTCCCCCCTTATACTTAAGGTGAAACATTGATAATCAAGGCACTCTATCTAGTGATGACTCAGAATCCTTTTTAATTCAGAGTTTTCGATAGTTAAAACCAGTTATAGAGTTGGCCTCTATGATGGAATCAGTTTATGACATTGTACTAGTCCTTTGATTGAGTTAAATTATGACTTTGATACCAAATAAAGGCTTAGGAAAAAATGCAATGTGTTAGTACATTTGACTGTAGTGATGTAAAACTATTTATGAGAAGCTGTGTGTTATTAAGACAAATACACTTTAATTACATCTTCTTTGGAAGAGTGGCCTTTGTATATAAGGCAAGACTGAATTCTTTTAATTTTTAGATTTCTCCTTTAGACATTAGAAAGCTTATTTCCTAAGAGATTTGCTAATGTTTGTTTCTTCTTATATCTTTTTTAAAAAAATTTCTCTACAGATAAAATAATTGTAGGTAGCTTTATGGGATACCTAAGGATCTTTAGCCCCCATCCTACAAAAACAGGAGATGGAGCTCAAGCTGAAGATTTGCTGCTAGAAGTGGATCTACGAGATCCAGTACTTCAAGTGGAAGTAGGAAAGTTTGTTTCGTAAGTAAGCCCACTAATTCTGGTATTTTACTTGGAGTATGTCAATCCTTTACTGTGTCACTTTTGTGAATTCTCCAAAAAAACTACCCATGAATTAACTGTATTTTCTCGGTATTGTCACCTGGGTGTTTCTCAGGTATGGGATGCTTTTTATGTGGATACAATACATTTAAGATAGAATGATTTAGGGCCTTTTCTTAGTAATAGACTTAAGATGTCTGACATTAGCAGAAGCTTAAAGACAAAGAGATAAGCTTTTAAAAATAACCAAATAAAGAAATAAATAAGAAGTATCTACTTATTTGAAGTTATATAAGTGTCTGTTTATAATTAGATGAAGTAGCAGATGACCATTACTTTTTGGCGCATAGCTTTGAGGTTTTATAATGAGTACTTATTTAGGGTAGAGAGGCCCTATCGTTTCTTTAAGGAAGTCAGTTCAGCCCACAAAGTAAGTCTTCCTCTTACAAGAGCTTTGTTCCAAAGTTCTTTATTCTTAAATTTAATGTATTTTAGAAAACTGTTTATGAGTTTGAACTTTGGGTAATATGTCTGCTTTTTATTTACTGATGATATTGCTGATCTTTTTTTTTTTTTTTTTTTTTTTGAGATAGAGTCTCACTCTGTCACCCAGGCTGGAGTGCAGTGGCACTATTTCAGCTCACTGCAGCCTCTACCTCCGGGGTTCCAAGTGATTCTTCTGCCTCTGCCTCCTGTGTAGCTGGGATTACAGGTGCGCTCCACCACACCCGGCTAATTTTTGTAATTTTAGTAGAGACAGAGTTTCACCATGTTGATTAGGCTGGTCTCAAACTCCTGACCTCATGGTCCTCCTGCTTTGGCCTCCCAAAGTGCTGGGATTACAGGCGTGAACCACTGCACCCTGCTGATCCTCTTATTTTCACATAAAAACTTGCTTAAAATTAAGCTTGTGTTTCTTAATCATTTAAAAGTGTGATGAAAACTTATCAAGTAGCCAGAGTTGGTTTGCCTCCTCTTTTTGAGTTCCCTTTGCCTTTTTAAATCTGGGCAGTACCCTAAGCTCTGGATTTTGGCATACTGTATTTGTTTATTATGATTTATTGCCCCAGGGACCATTTAGTCGGGGCCCTAACTCCTGCTTGAAAACCAAACAACCACTCATGAGCATTAACCCTCTTCCAGTGATATGTTTCAATTTGTTGGGAAGCTGTAGCTTGGAGGCTTTAGGCTGGGACATGAGATGACACTTGCATGCTTTGTGACAGGCTGGATTGGGGAGATTTTGTGACTGATGTGGTTGGTAAATATCTACTCCCTCTAAAAGCAGATGATGATTAGGTGCCCATCATGTACCTAGGACATATTAGATGTGAGGGATTTACAAAGTAAGGAGACAAAAGCATTCTTCCCTCTAAAAAGCGTTTTTACCTTACCATTTAAGAGGTGAAACAACTAGTAATCATTCTGTATAGTAGTTTTTAAGTATAGCCCTCATCTATGTGATCACACTGGAAGGGGAGGAAGTTAACTTAATAACTAGATACTATACTAGGCCTTTATAAATATTGTCTCAATAATCTTATAAGGCAGATATTATCTGAATTTAGAGACAGGAAACTAGAGCTCAGAGTGTAAGGTCACACAGCCAAGGTTCAGACCCAGGTCTCTCTGAATATACTTTACTGTCTTTCTATGACATTATGCTGTTTTCCTGAGTATGGTAGAAAAGTTGTTTTGAATGTCCAGGGTACATATACAAAATTTCCAAAGGCAGTATTGATCATATGATATATATATTTGCATTTTCTAGTAGAAGAGCAAATGACGAGTATATATTAATTGTAACAATGTTTTGCAGATGTTATCTAATACAATTCTTATTTGTAAATAAGATACTAAGACTCTGAAACTTTAAATAATTATACATATAGTAAGGTGTAGGGTCAGAACCCCCATCCAGGTCTGTAGACTTCAATTATAGTCCTCGCAATTTAGAACAGAGTCTGTATCAGAGGTTGTACACTGGAGGCCTACTTGTACATGTGAGCCTGCTCAGTATTTTATTTTATTTTTTGAGACCAAGTTTCATTCTTGTCACCCCGACTGGAGTACAATGGCGTGATCTCAGCTCACTACTACCTCTGCATCCCTGGCTCAAGTGATTCTCCTGCCTCAACCTCCCAAGTATTTGGGACTGTAGGCACCTGCCACCATGCCTGGCTAATTTTTCTATTTTTAGTAGAGACAGGGTTTTACCATATTGGCCAGGCTGGTCTCGAATTTCTGACCTCAGGAGATCCACCCCCTCAGCCTCCCAAAGTGCTGGGGTTTCAGGCATGAGCCACTACACCTGGCCGCCTGCTCCGTATTTTAAATTTAAAAGTGCTGTCAAACATTTAAGAACTAAGAGAATTCACATAAAACCCCTGCTTTTTGGCTTTTCTTGAAAAATGTGGGGCTCTGGCCACAAGCACAGAACCACGTAGTAGCCACCTCCTTTAGTCTGGTCTGTCTCCAGTTAATCACAGCCGTTTGCACCCTTTATTCATTAATAACCCCTGGCTTGACCCTTGAAAACTGAATTTAGGATGTCTAGACTGTGCTATGCTACTGTTTCTAGAAACCACTTGAGATAGGCTGGGAATTGTAGTGGTGATATTGGTAGTTTATTTGTATTTGAGATTTAGTCCAAACAGAAATATTTTCAATATTTTATAAAATTCCAGAGATAGAAGTGAAATATGCTACTTCTAATAATGATTGGTGTATTGTGATGCTTTAACCTTTACAAGATGCTTTCACATTATTTTATTTCATTTCATTGAACCTCTTATTTTTCATGAGAAATAGGCTCAGGGAGATTTACATGACTTGTCCAGAGTCACCGGTGAATGAATCAGAAAGCCAGGACTAGAAGTTAGATTTATTTATTGGAAGAAATAGTGCTTATGGAGGGACCTCAGATGTGACTTTTTCTTGGAAGCCCTGTTGGCTTCAATCTGAAGGCAGAGTACTTGTGCCCCTGGGGTTGTCAGATTGACTATTGTTATATTTATTTTTCAGTTTAGAATGTTATCTAATGAATTGTTTTGTTTACTCACAGCGGCTGTGGTTATGAGATCTTTTTGAAATTATTTTACAACTTTTTGGTTACTTCTAAAACTAATATTGGAAAACTTTAAAAACTTTCTCTGTTTTTCAGAGGTACTGAAATGCTGCATTTGGCTGTGTTGCATTCTAGAAAACTTTGTGTCTACTCTGTCTCAGGTAAGAAACATTTTTTTCCAATGTAGAATTTATATTACGAATTGGGCTTAATGTTATCTAAGAATAGATATTCCCTAGTGCTGACTTGGTAGAGAACACAAAACATTTACTTGAATGTTTTCTTTTCTTGGTTAGCATTTTCCCATTTTTCATTTATTCTTTCAGGCTATTACATGTTCTTGGTCTACTATTTTTGTGTATATATATCTTTCTAGCAGAGGATTCCTTTTAATCACCTGCCTCTCCAGAATTGTTTCCAGGATTGCCTGTGACTAACAGAGGCCAATTCTGGGTACTTAGGACACATAAGTCTTAAGAAATGTTGTACAGTAACAGAATTGATTAGATGCTGAGTCATAGTGGTTTGAAGTAGATTTTCTTTGGTGGACCTCAAGTATTTTCTCTTTACAGTTCCAATTTCTTGGTTTTTGGTTGTCTTCACTCAGACAGAGCTCAAGGCACTTATTTTGAGGCTTCATCAGGTTTCATTCTCTGACATAGTTCTGTGGGTACAAGTATAGTATGTGGTTTGGTTTTTATTAAAAATGTAGTATGTGGTTTGGATTTTATTATATTTTATTTTGGTCTTTATTAAATTTAAGATATAACTTAAAATTTTATTTCAGTTTTTAGATAAGTTTAGTTGAAGTTGAGAGTTATTTTAATGGATGTCAGTATGGGGGCATTTTTTTGCAGGTATGATCAAACTAAGCGTCTGTGAGGCTGTTGCTTATACCAGAGATCCTCTCCTTTGGAACTGGCTGTAAATGTTAGCTTCTAGGATTTAGATTTCTTAGGCTTACTCTCTTGATTTGGGCTTTTTTTGTATTTTGCTTTCAATTTGAGTAATGATGCATATTTACTTACTGAGTTGGATATTCTTTGGCAGTCTTATTTCAGGATGTAGATCTTTTAGATTTCCAACGCAGGCTTGGTAACCTGGAGGAGAATATGGTAGACATCCAGTAAATACTTGTTGAATTAATGAGTGAACAAATTTCTGGGTAGTGCTGAGACAATTGACAGTGCCTTTCTTTATTACTCTTCACCATGTACTGTTTTCATCCCCTTCTCTGTTAACTACTATCATTTTATTTCCTACTCTGTTTATGTCAGAGGCCTGATAAAGTGCTCTCTCATTGATTTCATGGGAAAGGACATGGTTTCATGTTGTTCCCCTAGTGACAGAGCACTTAGTATGCTAGGGTAAATGGAGAAAGTATTATCATATGATGTAGGCTACTTTATTGCATGGACCTAGTTGTTCCTCTGTTTTTGACTGTAAGCCTGTTATTTTACTATGTGGGTTACACAAGCCATGCAGGAGAATTTGCTGACAGTTACAGTTACCCAGAATACTTCTTCGGAAATTAGTTCCTTCTGAAAGCTCTGTGGGGGCTCTAAAGCGGGGCAGAGAATAGGGTATCTTAGAAACTAGAAATTTCATTAGACACTAGGCCTTCAAGTCCTGCTTGAACTATGGGCCAGAAAGACAGAACCCTTTGGAGTTCCACTGGGGCTTAGAGCATAGACAAGGGATAAAATGTGTACTTATCAAAAAAATATACTGAAAGAAACTGGCATATTAGGTGACAATTTGTTTATGGCACATTGGTATCCTCCTTCAAAATAAAAGTTATTTGCTATAGGAATGGTGATTTTATTGCTCTTTTATTCTTGTGTTCACTTAAAAGCTTTGTATTCAATGGTGACTAGAAGTTGTCCAGACTACATTCTCTTATGCCCCACCTCTTTTCCCTTCTGTCTCTCATTTCTTCAGACTCTAATGATATTTGTGGGCTGACAATTTGTATATTTTTCCTGGCTTGGCTTAAATTGAAAAGCATTGGGAAGTTAATGTTTTTGTTCTCTTGAATATGTTTCTTGAAGTTCCAGACTGAACTTTTACCTAGCTTTTATTGTAACAGGGGAAGCACAAACACTTTCTAATTTAAATGAAACCACTAGTGTCAGCAGATGAATGTGTGAGCTGAACTTGACATCCTTTTCTTCAACTGCTCCCTTCTCAAATATCTTTTGTTTTTGTAAAAGATTTGAGGCAAACTAGAGGAGACCTTCTAAGGTCAGTCTCCTGGACATACCTAACAACCTTAACAGTGAGAGGCAACTTTGCTAATTTCTTTGCGGTGGCTTATATGTCATCAAATGTATGCTTAATATAGAGAAAAAACAGAGTCTTGCTGACCTGATGTTGGCCTATCTTATCATACTCTGGTAAAGAGAAAGCATCACATGGCATCTCAGATTTCTTTCTGATAGGCTTCAGTTTCTGAATAAATGGTTACAGATGTGTGAGGGTAAGCCATACTGATTATGTTGTTTTAAATATTCTTTTCCAAAAAAATGTGCACTTCTCGAGAAGCATTTACTAAGCATCTGACATATTTATAGAATTGTAATGGTTTCCACGAGGAGGGCAAAAGAGATGTGGTTCTTTACTTTCGACAGGCTTACGTAATCTAACTTGGTTATTTAACACAGTGCACCTTTACGTAATCTGTAATGACTTTGAGTTTATTTAATATCCTTAGATTGCTCACCAGTTACCTAAAATTGCACTGAAAACTTGTCAAAGTGACCTTCGATTTTCCAGAGAATGTTTTGGTTTAAATCAGATCTTGTTTAAGTAAGCCTGGCCAATTGCATAAATGTTTGAATATTAATGTATTTTCTAACTGATGAAACTTTATAATAATTTTATGTAGACTATAATCATATATGCCATATTCAGTCCATATATCCCAGGGTAAACCCTATGTAAATAATTTTAATACTATGTCACTGATAATTTTTTAGGGAAAAATGATCAGAAATATTAGATTCCCAAATACTTCTTTCATTCCAAGGTAGTTATCTAAGGAAAATTATCTTTTTCTCCATAGTTGCATTATTAAGTTTTAAAGTGCAGTTACCTGAAGTTTAAGATTTATCAGTGCATTTGGAGTTCTTATACAAAGCCTAGTGTCATTTCATGCCAAGTTTGTTTAAATATTGGCTGCTGACGCCTCTGTTCATTGACCTGAGTTTCTAATGTTCCTGCTTGCATTTCAGCTAGCAGGCATGTATAAGTGCTTTTCTTATTTAAAGGGATTGATCTGGTTGTAGATGTTGTTAAAAGAAAAACCTTAGTCAAATGAAATTTAACACAGTTTAATTGAGCAAAGAATAATTTGTGAATTGGGCAGCCTCTTGAGCCAGAGTAGGCTCAGAGATACTTCAGCACAGCCATGTGGTAGAAGATTTATAGACAGAAAAAGGATAGTGACAGACAGAAAAAAGAAAGTGATGTATAGAAAATGGAATGAGGTACAGAAACAGCCAGATTAGTTACAGCTTGATGTTTACCTTATTTGAACATGGTTTGAATACTTGGCCTCTTTTGATTGGCCAAAACTCAGTGATTGGCACAGGGTTAGTTACAGTCTGTTTATACCTCCATTTAGGTTATAGTTTACTACGTACAGTGAAACTTTTAGGCTAAACTTGAACTATGTAAGTAGGCAGCTTTAGTTTAAACTTGGTACAGCAATTCTCCCCTTTTGGTCACCCTCTTAATTTTGAGAGATTGACCAAAATTAGTCATTGATGTCACTGTCACCATTGTAAATGTACTTATTTCATCTTAAAATCCACTGGGAAATAGCAGAACAGTGGGTTTTGTAAGGTAGGAACAAAGAATTCAGGTTATTTTTTTGTAAAGGTTAGAGTAGAGGGTACCTCCTTATGCTGGAATGTCATGTTTATAGGAGAAAAACAAAACCTTGTCTGTTCTAGGAGCTATGTGTTTCCTTAAGATCTTAGTTTGGTTATGTCACATTTAGCATGAGTGACTCTATTTTGGTTTGGTCTTGTCTTTTGGGACCTAGTGCATGAGCTCAGTCCAAAACAATGGCCTTCCATAATTTTATTTAAAAATTTCCCCTTTTAGTCAGGTTCTCACTTATGTGAGAGTGTGACCAAAAGTTAGGGCCTTAGTCCCACTCCCCGTTACCATCAAGTTTGGATTTCTAGTCTCAGCATGTCATTCATAGGTTACAGTGCCCTCATGGTCACACATCTTTGTAAGCTCTTGTCCTTCTAATTGAAGAGAAATTATGTGGTATTCTAGAGATGGCTGCATGCAAACATTTAAAAATTTTTGACACTAGAGAGACTACTATAATATCAGGAGGATAATACCAAGAGTTTGGAGCATGCTCCTTAGCCAGGGTCCCCATGAAACAAACGAACTAAAATTAAATAGATCAAAGAATGAACCAGATAGAGTCTATTTGCTTTAACTAAGCAGTCTCTTCATTAGTCCCCTACAACTGAGTATCTATAATATCCAATGTGATGCATTTCTCCATGGCCAACAAGAAGTGCCAGCAAGTGCACATATACTGCTGTTTAACCAGTAAGTAATCTAGAGTAGTTCTATTATTTAGCAAAACTTTCATAATTTATTTTTTATTTTTTAAAGTTTTTTTTTTTATTCATAAGATAATTTAAAGTCTGTTGTGTGACTGTAGCCTTTACAGTGGAATCTGCTATAAAGCCTACCGTGAGGGATAAATTTCTAATCATTACCTCATTTACTTCAAACCACGCAAAAAGAGACCTAACAAATGATGCCTATTTAGAAGAATGAAGACTTCCTTAAAGTGTTATCTTTTCTCTATGATGTAGGTTAAGAGGAGTGGGCCACTGTCCTGTTTCTGACTGATTATGAGACAACAAATGTGTCATTAAAGTTTCTCACCTGAATTGGGCCTTCATCTTTTATTTATTGAGGCATAAGATTGTTCATGCATAAGGCTGGCTGTAAAATCCTTCACAAATAAAAGTATACCCTATGAATGCATACAATACATCCTCTTTTCACTTCTATTGTTCATAGAAGCATAAGCAAGGGAAAAAAATAGATAAGAGTCTCCTAATAGCAGAGAAGTCTTGATCCGTGATCTAGGGAAAAAGGTGTCTACCTTATGGATGCATCTTCTTCTGGAGAGAAACTTCCCTCTTTAACTTTACCTTAGGGTTTCCAATGGGTGTACAGTTCCAAGAGTGGAGGGGTCCTTTTGAGTTGTGAGATTATTAACTCAAAATTTCAAGGTCCCAGAGTTTTGCTGTAATGTGGATGGCAAGGGCAGTTTTTCTCAGAAGATTTACTCTTTGGGTTCTAGATTGTGAAGGGGTTGATTGTCCTCAGTCAGTGGACTATCAAAGGCTTGCTTTCCTGGGTGAAAATATACTTTGATATATAGAGCTACTGTTACAACATCAGCCCTCTTGCATGGGAAAGCTTTAATACAACCAGCAAACATGCATTGAAAATGACAATTGAATGAAATCTTTTTATAAATGTTTAAATGGCTCATCAGCTAGTAGAAATGTACCGGAAGTTTTGGTTGTCTTTCCAGGAACATGTGTTTGACAAAGCAAACATTGGTTGTAAACTATTTTAGCAATATAGAACAGTCATCACACCAATAAATATATTTTTAATTTGGATAATTTTATTTCTTCCATGATGAGTCGTGGAATGCAGAGCTTTTAATAGCAAAAGCTTTAAGGACTCAGGAAGGACAAGGCAGCTGTTCAGGTTCTCCATGAGTCCATGCTTAATGTTGGGCTTAATGACCTCTTAAATAACAGTTGTTTCTCCAATTTAAGTATATAGCACCGATAACTGAAAGTTATATGTAATTTGACTTGGATCATGGAGTTCATTCAAATTGCATATATAAACAATTTCAGTAATGTCTGGTTTAGCATGAAAATCTGGCAAAGTATTTTCTCAGTATTCAATATTTTTGTCCCGCTTGGGTTAGCAGTTTTACAAACCAGTCAGTCTGTTTGTTAAAAGTTCTGGGAATTCTTACCCCATCCAAATTATGTGATCCTAAAGTTACCAGAAACCTGTATTCAAGAGTGCTTGTCAGGGTCCTTTCTATTCTTTCATGAACCTCCTTAAAGATACCATATTCTAGGATTTTGGGTGCTTGTAAAGTTTTTAGAAACTGCATTAGGATTAAGCAATTAACTGTGGAAATAACTTTAAATGATTATAATTAAAGACATAATTGACAAGGAAATTTTGTCATTTATATGGTTTATGATAATATAATAACCATAAATATGACTGATAGCATATGCCCAGACATATTAGAATTTTAGAAATCCCATACAATTTTGGAACATACATTAATAACATATTCATTAAAATATAACTTGAAGATTAAACATCATTTCCTGTTTGACAATGCTTCCCATGTAATTTAACATTTCAGATAATCCTGTTTATCTCTCTGTTGGATGCTTCATGTGCCCTCTGTAGCATCCCAAAGTTAGAGGCTGAAAAAGACTTAATTTTGACCTGAAATTTGATTTTGGGAAGAGAATCAAATTGTCAAAAGTTTTAAAACACTTGACCAAGATAGGATTGCAGGTTACCATAAAATAATGGTCATTAATTTAGCCAAAGTGATAATTACAAGACTTTTTTTTTTTTTTAAAGAAAAAACCCCGTACTCTTTAATAGAGGAGACTCAGTCATTCAAACAATTTAAAGACCTAAGACTGTGTGATAGAACCTGTCTCTTCTTTCTACTCCTTTTTCCCCTCTTTTTTGCAGTTTACTCAAAGCATGAATGAAAATATTTTCCTGTGTCTTATTAATAAATGCTTCAACAAATTTTTATTCAAAAGAGAAATCAAATTTTACTTTTGTATTGGTGTATTATAAATACTAAAGCTAATTTTAATAAAATCTCATAAATAAATTTATCAAATCTGTCTTCTTTTAACCACACAGGATTTCCATAAACCTTTTATTTGGCATTTTTCAGTTTTCTATATTCATCTTGTTTTATTTATTTTTTTAACTCCTTCAATTTGAAACTTTTTTTTTTTTTGAGACAGTCGCTCTTTTGCCCAGAGTGGAGTGCAATGGCGCAATCTCAGCTCACTGCATCCTCTGCCTTCCAGTTTTAAGCAATTCTTCTGCCTATCTCCTGAGTAGCTGGGATTACAGGTGCGTGCCACCACGCCCAACTAATTTTTGTACTTTTTGTAGAGATGGGGTTTTACCATGTTGGCCAGGCTGGTCTCGAACTCCTGACCTCGTAATCCACCCACCTTAGTCTCCCAAAGTGCTGGGATTACAGGCATGAGCTACTGTGCCCAGCCTCAATTTGAAACCTTTAAGAAACTTCAAACCTGATAATATTTTTAATATATACTTTTGTGCTTTTATAACTTTCCTCATCAAAAGCATATCTTACTTTTGTTTATGTACTATTTATATAAAATTGTTTTATATCTAGTAGCTTTAATTACATATATTAACTATAATTTTAACTCATAGTAATCCTAATTTCTGGTGAAAATAATTGTGAACTAATTTTATATCAATATTTGTAGATAAAAACCATTTTACAAGCTTTTAGAAAGATTGTTCTTCAAATTATTGTTTTTAACAGATCTAAATATATGGTAGCCTTTCTGTATTACATAAAAATAACATCAAGGTATATAGACTTAAAATCATGTTTAATAACTAATATTTCAATATTCTAACTTACAAATGACTCACACATTTTATGATTATTACTTAACATGACTTGAAGATTTTAAATTTCTGAAAAGAATTTTGAGCACATGACACAGGTACCCTCCTTAATGTCTTCCCTCAGTCATTCTGGGTGTCAAGTAGCCTCATGGTACCCAGGAGGACTATGAAGGTCAAGACCTTTCTGAGTCCTGACATACCAGGTGTATGCAGAGGTCAGGACAGAAGACACAGCTGTGAAGACTGTGCCTGAAGAATTCAACCCCTCCCCAGCTAGGAGGCAAGCAGGGAAAACAGGGAAGAAGGGATCATATTAGGCTTGATTCTGGCTTGTAGCTGATAGTCTAGGCACTAAGAACATGCCTTTAGACACATCATGTCCACCTATGCAGACTCTTGGCTCCAGAGGCTCTAAACCAAAAATAGCTCACAATCAAGCAAATACCTTGTTATATTTAACTGATAATTTTGAAGCCATTCCTATTTTAGCAAGAATTTTAAAACTAGTTTTATTTACCAAATATTATCACAGACACATAACACACATGGATATGAAAGATTTTTATTTGCCAGCTTTTAAATAGTTTTTCTTTTCCCCATTCGGTCTATTAATGTTTCAGTTACTTGTTTCATTGCCCTAAGCAATTATTAACCAGGCAACAAATTTTGCATTTCTAAAATAACAACTCTTAGGTAAAACAAAAAAGAAATTATATTCCATAAGTACATAGCTAAGATTTTAGGACTAAATATTGTATCATCATTTGCTCACACTAAGGAAAAATGGTGCTCTCATGAAAGTTTGGTTAAGACAAGATGGCCAGAAAGGCATGTTAATCAAAGGTATGACTTATGTCAATTTAAAACAATGGTAAGAATTTCTAATATACACAGGCAGACATCCTTAAAAATGGAGATTTCCTTAATAGATGTAAATTTCTTTTACAGAAGGGTTTCAAAATAGCCAATAAAGTTCCAGAAAGGCATATTTGAGTCCAATAGGTGTTCTTAATTTAGCTACTATTTCTTAGCTAAAATTACTTAGTTCAGAGTGGAGCCCATTAAGGAATAGGGTGAAGAAAGCATTCTCTATACCAAGACTCAGCATGGTTGCATCTGGAAAAGAAGTAAGCCTATTTTGCCTGAGGGCCTACCTTTTATAAATACTTTATCTAGGATAACTTTCTTTTCACTTTTGGATCAGGATAGTAACTAAGACAAAAATTAGCACATTTAGTTTTTCTTATCAATTAGTTGCTTAAGCTTTTTGTTTGCCTTTTATAAAGTGTCTTTTAATAAAAATATTGAAAAATTTTAGAAGCATCTGCATGTCAATAGGCATCCCTGGATGAGACTATTTTGGGAGCCTTTGTTTTCAAATGTACTTTGGTGCAGTGTTGTTTATTTGAAGCATTCGACATTTGTAACTTCAGTGAAATTTCACCATTTCTGTAAGACTTTGCTTCTTCTGGGGCCTAAAACTTACGCACATAGAACGCATTCAGTTCTTCAGAAACTAAGGATCTCATTTTTACCTCAAATATTGGCTTTGGCTCTTAGACCTCCTTTGCCAAATGATTTTTCCCTACCTAAATATGCAAGAAAAATGAAACAACAGGGGTAGAACACAGAAATGTTTGCAAATTTCCAAAAGCCAAAGTTGATACCTTCTGCAATATTGCCATTTACTACCAGTTTATTTCTGACCTAGTCAGATGTAAGAAGCCCCGAACTGGATATAAGAGAGTTTGGCTTTCTATGTCATCAGTATGACATATTTATCACAATACATAATATTTTAGTGCTTTTCAGTATAATTTCCCCAAAATTGAATTACTTAGAATTAGAGTAGAGGATGAGAATAAATTAATGTTTTTTAATGTACACAAATACAAAGTAATTTTTTTTTTTTTTTCCTTAGGAACCTTGGGTAATGTGGAACATGGGAATCAATATCAGATGAAATTGATATATGAACATAATCTTCAGAGAACAGCCTGCAATATGACCTATGGATCATTTGGTGGTGTAAAAGGTGATTTGCTTTTAAACACGAGTATGCTACTTCAAGTGACAGATTTAGAATATTTGGTCATATAAAACAGAGGCTTAAGTGGTTTGACTCTCAGAAAGAGTTAAAATAGATGTTTTTGAGCTCGTTGTTTCACCTTCCCTCCGTGGCAAGCCAGGTAGGGCCCTTTGTCTTTGAATTTCCCGAGGCTGTCCAGAAGGGGGCTCTGTGACTCAGGGTTATAAAACAAGTAGCCAATCTGGTAATGGAGTCAAAGATCAATCAATCCAGAGGAAGTTTAAAAGAACTCCTCTCATTGGATGAGAACATGAATGGAGAGGGAATAATTCAGGAATGAAAACTCCAGGTGCCCCTGCCTGGACGATATCCTTTCTCTGGATCCCCTTATGCAAAAGCGTGGGAGCTGTCCTTTCACTCTGCCTAATAAGCTGCACTTTCACATACTCTTTGGGTCCACAAGTTTTATTTCAACAGTAAAACTCTCTGCACCTGCGGGACTTGTTTCCCCATTCTCCTGGGTTAGGAAAGACAAAAACCTAAGTTCGGGCGAGAGCTGTGCCACTTCCCTGGTGGTTCAGCAGTTAGGATTCCTGGTTTTCATCCAGATGGCCCGAATTCAACTCCTGGTGTGGGAACCAGGGTTCAACTCCTGATGTGAGAACCAGGGAATCCAGCTGCAGTTTTACTCCTCCAGTAATAATTGTGTCTACCCAGTCCCAGAACTTCCAGAATCACCAAGGCTTGGTGCTTGCTTGTGTACACTCTTGCTGTTAGTATGAAAGATTTCTTATTTCCAACCCAACGTCCCTCCCTGCACCATGACAGGTGGTAGAGGAGCTGGTGGTCCTTAATTGAGAATAGAAAGCGAAGTGGTGACACCTGTGTGATTGTGTAAGTCTGTGTGTGTACTATCTATGTTCTGTGTGCAACCTGCAGAGCATGTAACGGGATTTTATAATATCTTAGCTATTCCTGGACACATGTTTTATGAGTTTATTGTTTAGCTGTTGCATTATATTTTGCCTTATCAACATGAGAAAATGACTTTATTTTGGAAGTATTCATTTGTATAAACTGAGTTATTTGTATTAATACATACAGATAAAGACAAGGAATAGTTGAATTTGGGTGTACCAAGCAGCATCAGGGATATTCTTGGCGGTGATGTGCAAATAAATATTTTACATAACTGAAGTGATGTAAAGCAAAACACTTGGTTAGATTGGAGGATTGCTTCACTTGGGTAACAGGAATGTTTGGATTATTTGAACTATAAGGAAGTATCTAGAGTTAGATGAAGATAGAAATTTAGACGAGAAGAGAGTCTGTCAATGAAGTGCTTCCTCAGCTTTTAGAACTGATTTTTACTGTCTTTGAAAAAATGTCTGACCTGATTAGGAAACCTAGGCCTCTCTTGTTTAATTAGCTATTTTCAATTCGCTTTCCCCTACCAAATTTCCAAAAAGCAAATTGCTAAATTCCATACATCATAAAAAAATTATGACATGAGAAAAAAATTGCTTTGGCCAAATAAAAGTGTTTTCTGGTAGCATAACAATGATTCTTTAGATGACATCCAACTTTATATAGCAGGGGTCCCCAACTCCTGAGCTATGGATATGTAGTGTTCTGTGACCTGTTAGGAACCGGGTTGCACAGCAGGAGGTGAGTGGTGGGCCAGTGAATGAAGCTTCATCTGTATTTACAGCCACTCCCCATCACTTTCATTAGCCTGAGCTCCGCCTCCTGTCAGATCCGGAGGCATTATGTTCTCATAGGAGTGTGAACCCTGTTGTGAACTGTGCATGCAAGGGATCTAGGTTGTATGCTCCTATGAAAATCGAATGTCTCCAATCACACTGAGATGGGACCATCTAGTTGCAGGGAAACAAGCTCAAGGCTCTTACTGATCCTACATTGTGTTAGTTGTGTAACTATTTCATTATATATTACAATGTAATAATAATAGACATAAAGTGCACAATAAATGTAATGTGCTGAGTCATCCAGAGATCATCACCCTCACTCTGTGGAAAAATCATCTTTCACCAAACTGGTCCTTGATGCCAAAAAGGTTGGGGACTGCTATTACATAGATTGCAGTGTCCTTTTTTTTTTTTTTTTTTAAAGTTTATTTGATAATTTTTGTTTTGCTTTTCTTGTTGGATGCATTTAGACATAATTTCTCTCTTGAGTTACAAATATTTTTCAAGAATTATTAAATAAATTAATATCTTTATTTATTTTTAAATAGATATATTTTATTGCCCTTTAGGGTCTGGGGTAAATGTGAAGAACATGCAGGATTATTGCATAGGCACATACAAGGCAATGTGGTTTGCTGCCTCCATCCCCATCACCCGTATCTGGCATTTCTTCCCATGTTATCCCTCTCCAACTCCCTACCCCCTGCTGTCCCTTCCCTAGTCCTTCCCAACAAACCCCAGGGTGTGATGCTCCCCTCCCTGTGTCCATGTGTTCTCATTGTTCAACACCCGCCTATGAGTGAGAACATGCGGTGTTTGATTTTCTGTTCTTATGTCAGTTTGCTGAGAATGATGGTTTCCAGGTTCATCTATGTCCCTACAAAGGACACAAACTCATCGTTTTTTGTGGCTGCACAGTATTCCGTGGTGTGTATGTGCTCCATTTTCCCTGTCCAGTCTATCATCGATGGGCATTTGGGTTGGTTCCAGGTCTTTGCTATTGTAAACAGTACTGAAATGAACATACATGTGCATATGTCTTTATAGTAGAACAATTTATAATCCTTTGGATAGATACCCAGTAATGGGATTGCTGGGTCAAATGGAATTTCTATTTCTAGGTCCTTGAGGAATCACTACACTGTCTTCCACAGTGGTTGAATTAATTTATACTCCCACTAACAGTGTAAAAGTGTTCCTATTTCTTCACATCCTCTCCAGCATCTGTTGTCTCCAGATTTTTTAATGATCACCATTCTAACTGGCGTGAGATGGTAACTCAATGTGGTTTTGATTTGCATTTCTCTAATGACCAGTGATGATGAGCATTTTTTTCATATGTTTGTTGGCCTATATATGCCTTCTTTTGAAAAGTGTTCATATCCTTTGCCCACTTTTGAATGGGTTTGTTTGTTTTTTTCTTGTAAATCTGTTTTAGTTCTTTGTAGATTCTGGATATTAGCCCTTTGTTAGATGGGTAGATTGCAAAAAAATTTTCCCATTCTATTGGTTGCCGGTTCACTCTAATGATTGTTTCTTTTGCTCTGGAGAAGCAATGGAGTTTAATTAGATCCCATTTGTCTATTTTGGCTTTTGTACCCAATGCTTTTGCTGTTTTGGTCATGAAGTCCTTGCCTATGCCTATATCCTGAATGGTTTTGCCTAGGTTTTCTTTTAGGGTTTTTATGGTGTTAGGTGTTATGTTTAAGTCTTTAATCCATCTGGAGTTAATTTTAGTGTAAGGTGTTAGGAAGGGGTCCAGTTTCTGCTTTCTGCACATGGCTAGCCAGTTTTCCAACACCATTTATTAAACAGGGAATCCTTTCCCCATTGCTTGTTTTTGTCATGTTTGTCAAAGATCATATGGTTGTAGATGTGTGGCATTGACTTCCTCCTTTCCTAATTGAATACCCTTTATTTCTTTTTCTTGTCTGATTGCTCTGGCTAGAACTTCCAATACTATATTGAATAGGAGTGGTGAGAGGGCATCTTTGTCTAGTGCCAGATTTCAAAGGGAATGCTTCCAGTTTTTGCTCATTCAATATGATACTGGCTGTGGGTTAGTCGTAAATAGCTTTTATTATTTTGAGATACGTTCTGTCAATACCTAGTTTATTGAGACTTTTTAGCATAAAGGGCTGTTGAATTTTGTCAAAGGCCTTCTGTGCATCTATTGAGATAATCATGTGGTTTTTGTCTTTGGTTCTGTTTATGTGGTGGATTACGTTTGTAGACTTGCGTATGTTGAACCAGCCTTGCATCCCTGGGATGAAACCTACTTGATCATGATGGATAAGCTTTTTGATGTGCTGTTGAAATGGGTTTGCCAGTATTTTATTGAATATTTTTGCATCTATGTTCATCATCGATATTGGCCTGAAGTTTTCTTGTTGAGTCTCTGCTGGGTTTTGGTATCAGGATGATGTTGGTCTCATAAAATGATTTGAAAGGATTCCCTCTTTTTGGATTGTTTGGAATAGTTTCAGAAGGAGTGGTACAGCTCCTCTTTTTTATGTCTGGTAGAATTAGGCTGTGAACACATCTGGACCTGGGCTTTTTTTGGTTGGAAATAAGAAATCTTTCATACTAACAGCAAGAGTGTACACAAGCAAGCACCAATTGCTGCCTCAACTTCAGCCCTTGTTATTGGTCTATTCAGGGTTTCAACTTCTTCCTGGTTTAGGTTTGGGAGGGTGTCAGTGTCCAGGAATTTATTCATTTCTTCCAGGTTTACTGGTTTATGTACATAGCATTGTTTGTAGTAATTTCTGATAGTAGTTTGTATTTCTGTGGAATCTGTGGTGATATCCTCTTTATTGTTTTTTATTGCATCGATTTGATTTTCTCTTTTCTTTTTTATTAGTCTGGCTAGCGGTCTATTTTGTTGATCTTTTCGAAAAACCAGCTCCTGGATTTATTAATTTTTTAAGGGTTTTTTAATGTGTCTATTTCCTTCAATTCTGCTCTGATCTTAGCTATTCCTTGTCTTCTGCTAGCTTTTGAGTTTTTTTTTGATCTTGCTCCTCTAGCTCTTTCAATTTTCATGATAGGGTGTGGATTTTAGATATTTTCCCAGAACTGAAGGTTCCTCCCCTTTTTAGACCATATAGGGTAACTTTCTGATGTTGTTAATGGCCTTTGTAAACTGTTATGGCACTGGTGGGAATGTCTTTTAGCATGCTAATGCATTATAATTAGCACAGGAGCAGTGAGGATGATCAGAAGTCACTTTCGTCACTACCTTGGTTTAAGTGGGTTTTGGCCAGCTTCTTTATCGCATGCTGTTTTATTAGTAAG